AAGCGCGAGCACAGAACTTTTTTCTCCGATTTCGATAAATTTGGTACCAAAAGATGTCTAAAAATGTAAATAAAATAAATCCACCGTGTAGCAATTTTCGCTAAAAATGTTACACGGCGCTTGTTCGCCGCGCGTGCTTTTTTCGCGCAAATTTTTAGTTTTTGGCCTATAACTTTCACATTTTCAGTTATTATCACGTAATTATTATGGCATCGTAATAAGCTCATCGAGAGGAAACTTTTGGTACTAATTTTTAAGATTTAAAGGAAAATTATTTTCAAAAATTTTTAATCTAAACGCGGATCTTTTGTGTGTTGTGTGAAATTTTTGAAAATTACCAAAATTAAAATATTTAAATATTTTAATTTTGGTACTAAAAGTTGCGTTTGACTAAGCTCATTACGATCCTGTATGAATTATTTCAAAATATTCAATATGTTAGGAGTTATAGGCATTTTAAGCAATAAATTGCCCATTTTTCGTCCTTTGTACACTCTTGCGATGCACAAAAGGCCCACATACAGCTCGATGTTATCGTGCTACACGGTGAGTTTTCATTATTCACACTTAGAGGCAACTTTTGGTACCAAATTTATCAAAATCAGAGACAAAAAATTCTGTGCCAGCTCATGGCTCTTATTACATAGACTACCTTATCGGACCTTATTTGGACGGACATTACTTGAACGCTGGAGGCCCTAGCGTTCATCTTAATGTCCGTTCAAATAAATTCCGTTCAATTAATGTCCGTCCAAGTTAAAGTCCGTTGAAATTTTTTCAAACATTTTTTCCATTTAGAACTTTTTGTCCAGCATATGACAACTTTTTAATATCAGTCAATTTCAATAGCTATCATTAAACTAAACTATGTCGTTGAATCAATAAAAACAAGGTATTTTTCTTCCTTACTGTATGAAAAATGGATTTAAAAATCATTTGCTAAAATTAAAAAAACTTTTTAAAAAGATGAAAAAAATTCGGATTTTTGATGGTTTTGATCGCCTTCTAGCGTTCATATTAATGTCCGTTCGTAATTATGTCCGTTCAAGTAATGTCCGTCCAAATAAGGTCCGATAAGATTAAGGTATGCCTAGTGCCTAACTCAAGCTGTGGTGCGTGGGCAGCTGTTCTTAACTCCTTAAGTTCTTAAACCCTTGGGAAATTTATTCGCCATTCATTTACTCTGGTTACAACGTACTGCTTGTTGATTCGATATTTGACCTATGTGAATGTCTACTGCTAGGTCTAAACAGGAAAATATCATCGGTGTGGTTGTATTAAATTGCTCTTAGGAATGCGGAACTTATCGTGTAATTACAAACTATGGCTTAGTAGGATTAATATCATAGTTGATAATGACAAAAGCCCAATAATAAGAATTAATTAAAATTTTCCGGCAAGATCCGGCATATTCCGGCAAGTTCCAGCAGCCTTATATTTGCCCTTCCTAACAACCGGTTCTGGTCCGGCGAAATCCGGCTAACCGGATAATAGATTGATATCCGGCAAAATCCGGTCCGGCAGCCAAAAGCCCTTTCCGGTCGGTTCCTATTAATTGGACTGTGCATGCGGTGCTTAGCAACCGTTGTTGAATATACAACTGTTTCGAAACTGGAGGTCACCATCGCTATGGTAAGATTCGCCAAGTATCTAATGATCATTGATCGTAACATCTTACAATGTAACAATGAGTTAATTCCCAACTCACCTTGAAGCAAGTCTCCTAGACTAGCTGCGATGCCTTGATAATGTTAGACACGAACATTTTCAACTAATCCATTCAATCACATAATCCTCCATAAAACAATGGGTAAAACAATACCACACTACGAGGAAATGATATAGAAATAGCACAACAATTCGACAATTATATTCTTCGTTCGCTCTCTTTAAATTGTTTGCTTTCATTTTAGTAGAGGTGTAAATCCAGAATGTTTTTACGATTACCACTCGCGGAGGAAACCGTAAACCTCCAATTCATATCTTCCTTAAAATAGTGTTGTAAACTTACACTGACTCAAAGGGATGTATTGACTCAGTTAAAGTTGGAGCCGGTAGATTCTTTAATCTTATGTTGTTGAATTAGATACGTGATCATACAATTTCTTAAGGATCGTCCATATAATATTACGTAAGCCAGATTTGACCTTACTGGGCGGCGCTCAGCCTGTCATTCGGCCGAATCTTTATTCTGTTTATGAACATAATAGTCTGGGGTCCCCAGGTGAGATTTGACCATGAGAGAACCCTGTGTAGGATAGGGTGTAAGCAAGCTGCCACTAGCTGGTGCCAACCCTCCGCCACTCTAATTGGGATAGTCGGTGAAAGGACCCGGGCGCTTTAAGGCTTTTGTGATCCATGTTGGGTGTTTAGACAGATCGTGTACCATGAATATTGAGTAAGGGTTAGAGTCTGAATTGTAATGACAATAAGACAACGATACCTGGGAAACCCTGCTTTTGTACTGTGTCCTTCTAAGACCCTCTGCAATGACCCTCTTTTGAATACCTTATCGGACCTTATTTGGACAGACATTAATACTATGATTAATTGAACGCTGGAGGCCCTAGTGTTCATTTTAATGTCCGTTCAAATAAAGCCCGTTCATTTAACATTTAAGGTCCGTCCAAGTTAAAGTCCGTTGAATTTTTCAAAAATCTTTCCACTTCGAACTCTTTGTCCAGACTATGACAACTATGAGAACTTTATTGCATTCCGTAAGTTATATATATATATTAACGACGTAACGTATTAACGGAAAGGTTCTCCTTGGTTTGCCGGAGGCACAGAAATGGGAGACACTGGCAGACATTGTAATCACGCGCCTTTAATCATGTACATTACAGATCTTAACCACGCGGTCTATTAGCGCACCCTGCCTCAGCTAAGCCTAATGAGTTAGCTGGGGAGTGGGGACCTCAAGCTATCAGAATTAAACGTAAAATTAAACCTCAGGCTATCATGTTCATAAACATAATAGAGATTCGGCGGAATGACAGGCTGAGCGCGGCCCAGTAACTTATGAGTTGTTTCCTCATTAATTATTTACTACTATACCGGTGTCTTACTAAGACTCTTAGGTTATAAATAAATAAAAATAACCATGGGCCAGTGCGAGCCACAGCTAATTCAAATAATTATCAGTTTTATTCAGTACTTAAAGGTCTTAACATACGTTTGTGATAAAGTAGTCCAAACTTTGAAGCCATATTGTCATTGAAATAAGGTTGCACATTAACACTGACTCAGAGGGACACAATTCTCTGGGGATGTATCAGCTGGGATATTATTAACTCTTAGGTAGCTGATTTAGGCATCGGAGTTGTTTCGTTTCATCGAAAACTTATTGCATTTCATTTCAAAAATTGTTTATATCTTCTTTATTATACTATTACAGTTTTTTATAACCTTTTATAACAAATGTGCAAAGTTGAAATGTGATCCAAAATATCTAGCTCAATAAAGGAAGTTTTCTTATCCAAAGAAATAACGCTGCATTGCAATGGGGACAAACTTTGTCCGAACAGGCTTGCTAAGGTTTCTTCTGTTTGGGATAGTCTACTGTGCAGGTTAGTGAATATTACAAAGAGAATAAATGTTACAATCGCAATCCTATGACTGCCGATAAACATTTTTAATATGAACATTTAACGTATTACTGAATGAAGATAGTGAACCGTATTTACTGCCTTGGTCAACTTATTTTAATCTTAAACGTCTGCTCTCCAGAATGGACAGATGTGAAACGACATCAGTTTATCGACTACGATCTGGAGGCATACCCCCTACAGATCAAGACAGATTCTGAAACAGGAAGAGGTGATATGGTTGACTTATGCGTGTATACTAAGAATGCTGGTGGTGTTAGAGATTATTTCGGCTTTATATACATCAGATTCTTAAACATCATAAGTTATAAAACGTCCTCCTGCAAAAAAGGGCAACATCTAACAACGGCACCAAACGAGAAGGAAAAGATCTGGACCTTAACGAAAACATCGACTAACTTGATTATTGACTGCAATGGAGTCAAAGTCATTGATTTCAATTTTCAAACAGCAGGATGTGCTGAAGTTTGGTCGAAAGATGTTGCTAAGATCGCATTTTGGGACGATGGTGACGATAAAGGTGCATACGATACAGCTTCTGATGAATACAGAAAGTTTCCGACTTGTTTCTCCCTGCCTGCTGTAGCTCATCTGGAGATTATATCAGGTTCTCTGCCTGTAAACCATGGTACAGAGGTCACAGTTATGTGGGATTCGCATTAGTGGGAGATAACGAAACTCTTCGTAACACCAGGCCAGGGTAGATAAGAATTCCTTGGAATCGACGGAAGGGGTAAAATAACAACATAAGGGGAAGAGTTGGTTACTATAGGATACTAATTTAATAAAATCTTAGAGCTGATGGGTTATGACAAGTAGCTCAGATTATGCTACAACCTAACTTAGATATATAAATAAGCATATTTTCGTTCGAGTTTTAGCCGAGTGGACAGGTGTGATGACAGAAGCTCAGTCCCCAGACACTCCTGGATGAGTTATCAAGGTAACCTGCGCTGAGATCTCAACACAGGGAACAGTCACAACATGATTACTTTAGGTTCATTTGACAAGGAAAAATAAAATTCAAAATCAATTCAAACTCAAATATTTAACAACATTTCAATGCATTGTTATTATAACATAGTAAAACACTTTATTTCAACCCCGTGCTCAGTGGGAACGAACCGTTCAGCGGACAAGACAAAATGTGAACCCTTGGTCTTCCTTTGGTGAGCTTGAGCGATAATAAGGTGAGATAGAAGAAGCGGAAGAATATTCTTTTCAGTGAAATCTTTAAAACAATTTTCAATCAATATCTAATGAATATTAACATATAAGGCTTATAATTATATTAATGCTTTTCAAACAAAGTTACAACGAATTCTTCATGTAGTACATCCTGGGTTTGGACAGGATATGCCCGCTTAAGATATTTCCATCACGTTACATTACATAATTCTCAATAAATGTAATAGATTTGTAATGTTGTAATTAGTTTATATGTTTTGAACTGTTGAAATTTACCCAGCCCTAATATATTTTAACAACCTTAAAGAAAAGCAAACTAGTTCTTTGTGTTTGTTTTTCATCCTACTTTCTGCATTTATCAGCAACTACAATTACAGTGAGTACACTTAATATTATTTAGAGATGTGCAAAGAATCATAAATCTAGTCGAGCAAATTTTAGAAACTGACCAGAAATCTGGTGCTTTCCATTTTTAATGGCAAAATTGAGAAGATCTTAATAACGTCAAATGATTATCTACCCTACTCTAAAGTTATCAATTACTAACCCCAGGAACGAAGACGATGCTGTATAAAAACTATACGAATGTTGATAGAAGAGTGAAGAGAGATGAACAGGAAAGAAAATAAAGGATATCAGCTCCAATGAATTAATGAGAATTAGTTAAGGTTAGAAATTTTTCGTAACATGGCAATGTTGCAATCTGGGAGGGGGCTTATAAGTAACACAATAAATATTTTAGTGAACCTGCCCACCTTTGACTGTGTTTATAAATCACTTATGACCTAATTTCCAATATTTATCAATTAATTTCGATTTTAAATACCTGCACGTAGTTGCCTGACATATATAAGAGAATCTTTTTACTGTAGCAGCATTCCCAATTGACTATGGTGTAGAGATTGCAGTTGACTGCATGTCAGGATTCAAATTAGAGGGACACAACACCATCACTTGTGTAAAATAAAAATGTTCACTGAAACAGCATCTTGCCAACAAAGTAAAAACTAAATGTCTTGGTTCAAATATATTTTACAAAAAAAAATGTCAATAACCTTCATTACTGAAATAGGCAGGGGAAAAGTGGCCTTACGTTGGATTTGAATGTCCAAAAGAATTTCTCAACGGAATATGGGGCCATCTACTTAGGACGTCCGCCAAAATCTCAGATTTTCAGACCACCCCCTCCCCCTGTCCGGGTGTGTCCGAATTTTCAAAACCACCCCTCCCCCGGACGTCCAGATTTCCAGCTACTTTTAAGAGTACAAATAAAACCAAGTCAAATTCATAGTTAATAAAATGTTTAGTTACTTAAAATAGAAAATAATACATTTAGTGTCGAACAAGTTTACTTTTAGCACAGTTCTACAGATACATTTAAGTACATTTAACTTTAAGTACCCGTTTAAAATACAGGTATCTAAACTTACAGAGTAATTAGTGTCAAAGAGTTGAAATAAATCGGACTTTTTCGTTAATTCTACCAAAATTTCCGGACGTCCGGATTTTCAGAAACCACCCCGCCTCCCCTTGTCCGGATTTGTCCGAAATTCCAAAACCACCCCCTCCCTAATTGCCGGATGTCCTAAGTAGATGGCCCTTATGGTAGTTAGGACCCCTACGAAGGTTTTCACCAAGCTTTTCACCAATTTTGTATCTCACGGAAACACCACTTTTTCCCCACTTTTTAGTTTTACCACCTTTTTGGTTTGCCAAATAACTTTAGTTGTGAACGGTTATGCTACAACCTAACTTAGATATATAAATATCAAATAAGTTAATTTTCGTTCGAGTTTTAGCCGAGTGGACAGGTGTGACGACAGAAGCTCAGTCCCCAGACACTCCTGGATGAGTTATCAAGGTAACCTGCCCTGAGATCTCAACACAGGGAACAGTCACAACATGATTACTTTAGGTTCATTTGACAAGGAAAAATAAAATTCAAAATCAATTCAAACTCAAATATTTAACAAAATTTCAATGCATTGTTATTATAACATAGTAAAACACTTTATTTCAAACCCTTGCTCAGTGGGAACGAACTGTTCAGCGGACAAGACAAAATGTGAACCCTTGGTCTTCCTTTGGTGAGCTTATGAGCAATAATAAGGTGAGATAGAAGAAGCGGAAGAATATTCTTTTAAGTGAAATCTTTAAAATAATTTTCAATGAATATCTAATGAATATTAACATATATATATAAGCCGTAAGGCTTATATGTTTTGAACTGTTGAAATTTACACAGCCCTAATATATTCTAACAAAAGCAAACATTTTTGTCATTTTGTGTTCGTTTTTATCCCACTTTCATCAGCAACTACAATCACAGTGAGTACTCAGTACACTTAATATTTTTTAGAGATGTGCAAAGAATCATAAATCTAGTCGAGAAAATTTTAGAAATTGACCGGAAATGGCAAAATTGAGAAGATCTTAATAACGTCAAATGATCAATAACCATAATCTAAAGTTATCAATCACTAACCTCAGGAACGAAGTCGATGCTAGCTGTATAAAGATTATACGAATGTTGATAGAAGACTGAAGAGAGATGAACAGGAAAAAAGATAAAGGATATCAGCTCCAATGAATTAATGAGAAGTTATAAGGTTAGAAAATTTTCTTAACATGAACATTGAAATGTTGCAATCTGGGAGGGGGCTTATAACTATGTCTACTAGTAGTACTGCTAGTAGTGCATCGCGCTAATTGGATAATTACCAATTAGCTAATTACTGAAAATAGTGGACATTTTTTATTGGCTCAAAATGATTGAAATCGTTTGAAACACGGAAAATGTAGTTTTTAGAAAAAACTTTAAAAATTGTTGAATGTTGAAATCGAGAAAATATGAATGATCATCACAACTTTCACTGATATGTTACATTCTATTCAAACATTCAAAATATTTTACTCGTGGATCTTGTATAAGTAAAAGAGTACAGGATATTAATCGCAATCCTAGAAATTATTGTCCCCCGCGCGGGATACTGGTAGGCCTGGGGCTGGAGGGGGATTATTTAAAACATATAATTATAAGTGATACGAAATACTGGTTGGAGTTATTCGTTTTTAATAATATTTGCCTAAATTGCTTTATCTAGGGTTAGCACATATTACAATTGACACGTATTCTTTACTTGTTATCCAAGTGATCCTTTTCCAAGCCGTTCTTAATCTGCACAAAGTTTTAAAGTCTGGCTTAATAGACAATTATAGAGCCACTTACTTGTCCTTGACAGAAAAGTCAAAACCACAAGTATTATAATCGTTCACATATTACTTGAGCAAAATTTCGCAATCTTGGACCCCTCCCTCAACACAATAATCTCCTGACTCTCAGCACACCACTAACTTGTAGTAATTATTGTGTACTGTGAGAAGTTACACTAGCGCTCTACCAAAATCCCCTCCCCTCCAGGTACTGACGTTATATGTGAACGATCTCCTACTTCGCCAACTTGGAGTAGTCATAAAACCTAACTTAATGAGACCTGGTCAATGCGCATAAGAAACCGGGTTTTGAATAAAACATTCTGCACAAAATTTTAGGGGATCTCTGGTCTTTTTTCTGTCATGAGCCTTTGTATCTGTTTTGTGACCGACTAATAATCTGCGTTTAAATTTAGGCACTAGGCCGTTTTAATGTAACGTAGGATTAAATTTACAGAGCCGAACTTTTGTAAAGCCTAGGATAAGAGAATGTTCTAGAATTCCCCCGGTGCAGAGAGAAATGATAAATAATTTAGTCAAGGGAAAAGTGGCATCCAGATCCAGTCTTATCCTTAAATTGGACATAACTCACTAGCTGAAGTAACTTCTACATAAAACACCATAGAAACCTTTTTCTTGATTTAAACAAAAAATGAAGGAACAATTTTAAGATTAGAATAAGATTAGCAAAATCACAATAATTGTCAAATGCGTTAAAAATTGTTTATATTAAAATTCGTCCTACAAATTGGAAAAAATTTAAAGCCAATTATTTAATCAGTAATATACTGAAATCGTTAAAAAGTGAAGTTTATACGTGTCAAATTGTCAAACCCAGTCATTAGATTATCGCATCTTTAATTAACAGTTGTCAATAAAATCTTATGCCATTATTCAGTTTATATCTAGTAATCTAGGGCCATGGTTTTAGGATGTTGAATCGCAAATTTCTGATATGTTTTCCATCTTGTATCATTCCCAAACCTAAACTAATCTGGTGGATCAGTAACAGACCCGGCTGTGGAGTAGATGGAATCAAGATGGTACATCATCATGCTGACGATATCCATCGCGCTGTTTATAGGTCTTTGAGCTCCTAGCCTCTCCTGACGTTGTTGATTATTGATAAATAGGTTTAGTTATAAAGATTAAATTAATGAGTGTTTTTATTTTGGGGACAACTTTTTAGAGTCAACTATTTTAGGAAAGGGAAGGAAACAATCCTACCGGAGGAGAATCTTTGAAGTGCTCAAATATGTCACTTGATTCAATTTCGCTTTTTCCAAACATTTCCCGCCATTTCTCCGCCGTTTTTGGTTCCGGTTCTTTTTCAAAACTCTTTAATTCTGAGGCCCTGAAAGGAAAATCACAATCAAAGATTCAAATTGATTTGTCCGAATATCAGAGGCACATATTAGGTGCGATGGGTGCGGGATCGCACAATTTACCGTTTTCCGCACATTTCCGCATAATTTATTGTTTTCCGCACATTTTGTAATTTTCTGCATATTTCCGCATAATCTAGCATTTTCCGCGTAATTTCGCATAATTTTGAAATTTTTGCGTTATGATTTTCGAGTGTAAAAACCAAAATATGTTAAAAGTCTGGCCCTTTTAGGACCGTGACTCAGGCCCTTTTAGGACCGTGACTCAGGCCCTTTCGGGACCGTGACCCAGGCCCTTTCGGGACCCTGACCCAGGCCCTTTCGGGACCCTGACCCAGGCCCTTTCGGGACCGTGACCCAGGCCCTTTCGGGGCCCTGACCCAGGCCCTTTTGGAACTCATACCTAGGCCACGTGACCCGGTTACCACGTGACCCAGGCCCTTTCGTGACCATGACCCAGGCCTTTTCGGGACCGTTACCCAGGCCCTTTCGGGACCTTGACCCAGGCCGTTATTGAACCCTCGTCGTTACCGTACTTCGATCATACCTGCAGCCCTTTTTTATCGGGTAATGAGCTCTATTCGTTGTAGCGTTGGCTTTATAGTGGGCTTAATGGATCTTTGATCTTGGATCAAATGGTTTACAAGTACTGACGATCAATGCCAACAAGCGTGTCACATATTTGCGATCACGTATGGGATCTGATCGACTCTATCAAGAGGCGTCTTCAAATAACTGTCTCCTGATCTCTACCAGATCAAGTCACTGTTGTCAGATAACTGAATCTCAATATAGGTTCAATCATGGTCTTAGTGAAGAACTACACCCTCAGTAACACATAAACAGACCTATTTTTGATAAGAGCGGCGGTTATACGTTTAGAATTTCCAAAGTCCTTCAGAAAATGCAAAAGAAAACCGCACAATTCCCGCACAAATTTCGAAAAAATCGTCGCACATTTGCCGCATAATTGGTAAAAATTTACCGCACCTTACCGCACATTTTACCTTTATAGTCGGGTGCGGTACCGCATAATTTCGATTTTTTTACCGCACCTAATATGTGCCTCTGCCGAATATTGTGTGGAAAGAAGTTCAGCTCATAACCAGTCCTTGCCTGGTAAAAGTATTACGACTCTTAAAGTTAAATAAAGCTCCTAACAATGCCTTAATAATACTAAAGCAATAATTTCCTTGCTTAGAGGCAAAACAGCTAGAGCTAGCACTTAAAAAACGAAATATAATTAACAGTAAACCCCCTTACTTTGAAGCAGAAGAACTAGAGCTACTTAAACCCCCTTACTTTGAAGCAGAAGAACTAGAGCTAGTTAAACCCCCTTACTTTGAAGCAGAAGAACTAGAGCTACTTAAACCCCCTTACTTTGAAGCAGAAGAACTAGAGCTACTTAAACCCTAAGATGTGAAGTTCGTACGGTACGTACCTTTCAATTAGCTGTACGGTACGTATTTGATAAAGTAGGCTGAAAGGTACAGATCTGAAGAGCGTACTCAAAATTCTAAAGTTGCTGTTTGCTGAGACGATTCTCCAGTTAGAGACGTACCGCGTTAACTACGACAGAGAAGGGGTAAAACCCTTACACTGATGCGGAATCAGAACCTATGAAGCTTATTAATCCGTCAATATACTGGAAATATTTTGGAGGAGAACTTTTTCTGCTTAAACAGTTGGCCCAAATAGTATTCAGTGTTTTAAGTTCTTCGTCAATTTGTGAGACCAATTTTAGAGATTACGAGTATATTATGGACAAGCGTAGATTAAGGTTGCGACCTGAGCTAGCTGAAAAGCTGGTGTTCGTGTACTGCAACAAAAGGATGAAGCTTTGAGTTTAACGATAATTACAAGTAGTAGTAGTGTAGTACCGGTTAAGAGCGATCCGGTACACAAATTTTCCTCTTAAATCTTTTATTGTTTTAACCACTGTGTTTATTTTTGACTTCTATCTCAAAAATTATGATGATAATACTAATCAAAAATTACAAGTAATTCACTGAAGTTGATTCTAAAATTTGAAAAAAAATTTTACCTTACAGTTCCTGTACGGTACGTACCTTTAAAAGTAGCTGTACCGTACGTACTTAAAGCCCTGTACCGTACGTACTTAAAGCCCTGTACCGTACGTACTTGCCATCTAAGCTTAAACCCCCTTACTTTGAAGCAGAAGAACTAGAGCTACTTAAACCCCCTTACTTTGAAGCAGAAGAACTAGAGCTACTTAAACCCCCTTACTTTGAAGCAGAAGAACTAGAGCTACTTAAACCCCCTTACTTTGAAGCAGAAGAACTAGAGCTACTTAAACCCCCTTACTTTGAAGCAGAAGAACTAGAGCTACTTAAACCCCCTTACTTTGAAGCAGAAGAACTAGAGCTACTTAAACCCCCTTACTTTGAAGCAGAAGAACTAGAGCTACTTAAACCCCCTTACTTTGAAGCAGAAGAACTAGAGCTACTTTCACAATCAGAACAATCACATATCTCCGTCACCTCAACCAGCTTCACCCTGGTCTCACCATCCTCCACATTAGAGACTGATTTCTCCAGCTTTGGAGCTGGGACGTTAGTTTACAGTTAGGAGTTTACATTTAGGTTACAGAATGATAAATTAAAAGATTTGCGGGATGAGAAGTTAGTAAATTTTACGACTTTTTGGCTTTTGCCATGAGCCTTATATTTAAGCAACAATATTCTGATTTGTTCGGTTACGAACATGTTATCTGGATGGAATATCACATCTTGTTTATTAGAAACTTACAGCAAAACCCCGATTTACCGCGGAGTTTGCAGGGGAAAGGTAACAGTGCGGTATATCGGGGTTTTGATTGTTTACATTTACATGTTTATTCTTAATTTGGGGGAAGGAAATAGCTGCAGTAAATCGAGGTATGTATGACTACACCCACCCTTGTGTCCCCTATGAACTGAGCTGGGAGAATAACGCAACAAGTTTGTAGCGCTCCACTTGAAGAACTTGAACTGTTCATGGCACTCTTTACAGGTACCGAAGTAGTGCTTGTGCCCGGCAACTCGTAACTCACTCCTTTTGAACTGGGGAAATGTTCTGTTTTAATAAACTGTTTGTCAGTTCATTTTATCGGACTTTATTTGAATGGACATTGATAGGACGTTGGAGGCCCTAGCATTCATCAAGGTAGTTAAATTAAATACATTAAATGAATGCCTTCGAACGTCCGATAAGGTATTCAAACAATATCAATAAATTTGAACATCAGTACACAATACCGCACCCATATTTTTTATATTTTAACCACACATATACCACACCCCTTACCTCGTTTGAGTCACCACAGAGGTAACAGCTACAGAGATAACGCCTGTCGACCCCCTTCGTACTCTGCTCCAATGACACAGCAGCTGAACACTTGTCACAGTATGTGTTACCAGTCTTCTTTCCCGACATTCCTACCTCCATCTGATCCAGCTGGGATTAAAATTTAAAAGTTAATAAAAATAAAAATTTGAAAAAAGAAGATTTCATGCTATTTCGTTATACTTATATTACGGTAACAGTTGGTTAAACTATCATGGTGTAAATTTTATTTGACCTCCGTAGTTGCGATCTCGACCATTGAAACAAAGAGTTTGCAGAGGAGAAATACAATGTACATACAATGTATAATGTACAAATGTACAATGTACAAGATACAATGTAAAATGTATCATGATTACATACTCATGTATTATTATTTTGTTATTTTGAAATGTTAAGTCAGCATCATGATCGTATAGTCGATGCCCGATGGTATACCCAATGAATACCACGATAGAGGAGCTATCAATTTCAGACGTATTAAAAGCTATTATAGAAATAGCAGCAAACAACATCATAACTTTGAAAAAAATGACGAAATGTATTTTTAAGAAGATCATGTTGGCAGATTTATAAATTAAAATTAGAATTCTCAAGCTTTTGACGGAAATAAGTCAGAAACATAAATACAGCATACGATGTTTCAACAGCAATGCAACTAACTACTAGTAATTCAAGAGTACTTTAAGCCTTAAGGTGGGAGAATTATTTAAACTAGGTGCTTACACTTTTCACAGACGTTTATAAACATAATTATATACAATTATGATTGAAGGAAATAACATAAAGTGTAAGCGCATCTTGGTTTTTTTCTATATGTTTTATATTAAACAATGATAAATAAATATATTGACTTTGTGGACTGATTATTCAATTTTAACCTACAAATAAACATTTCAACATTAAAAAGACAACCAAACATATACCTCATTCAGCTGGGAACAGTTCGGGCATGCAAAGGAGTGAAGAACTGATTTTCTGGATATCAGCTCAATAGACAGATTACTGCACAGCGGTCCAAACGTTAATAACATGCTGAAAAATAATAAATAATAATTTAATTTAATAATATAAATTATTAGTTTACATATATAAATTAAAAGTTAGTTTGATTGTAAAACTTTATTTAATAACGTGCCGATCTATTACAAAAAAAATCTTTGATAACCTGGCGAGCCTCAATGATTTACTGTATTGAGTTGAACAACTTCTACAGGTCATGTTAAGCTAGTAACCTAGTAACCTAGTAACCTAGTAACCTAGTAACCTAGTAACCTAGTAACCTAGTAACCTAGTAACCTAGTAACCTAGTAACCTAGTAACCTAGTAACCTAGTAACCTAGTAACCTAGTAACCTAGTAACCTAGTAACCTAGTAACCTAGTAACCTAGTAACCTAGTAACCTAGTAACCTAGTAACCTAGTAACCTAGTAACCTAGTAACCTAGTAACCTAGTAACCTAGTAACCTAGTAACCTAGTAACCTAGTAACCTAGTAACACAGTAACCTAGTAACCTAGTAACCTAGTAACATAGTAACTTAGTAACCTAGTAACCTAGTAACCTAGTAACCTAGTAACCTAGTAACCTAGTAACCTAGTAACCTAGTAACCTAGTAACCTAGTAACATAGTAACTTAGTAACCTAGTAACCTAGTAACCTAGTAACCTAGTAACCTAGTAACTTAGTAACCTAGTAACCTAGTAACATAGTAACTTAGTAACCTAGTAACTTAGTAACCTAGTGACCTAGTAACCTAGTAACCTAGTAACACAGTAACCTAGTAACCTAGTAACATAGTAACTTAGTAACCTAGTAACTTAGTAACCTAGTAACCTAGTAACCTAGTAACTTAGTAACTTAGTAACCTAGTAACTTAGTAACCTAGTAACCTAGTAACCTAGTAACCTAGTAACCTAGTAACCTAGTAACCTAGTAGTAGTAGTATTACCTGGCGAGCCTCAATGATTTACTATATTGAGTTGAACAACTTCTACAGGTCATGTTAAGCTAGTAACCTAGTAACCTAGTAACTTAGTAACCTAGTAACCTAGTAACCTAGTAACCTAGTAACCTAGTAGTAGTAGTATTACCTAGCGAGCCTCAATGATTTACTATATTGAGTTGAACAACTTCTACAGGTCGTGTTAAGCTAGTAACCTAGTAACCTAGTAACTTAGTAACCTAGTAACCTAGTAACCTAGTAACCTAGTAACCTAGTAGTAGTAGTATTACCTGGCGAGCCTCAATGATTTACTATATTGAGTTGAACAACTTCTACAGGTCATGTTAAGCTAGTAACCTAGTAACCTAGTAACCTAGTAACCTAGTAACCTAGTAACCTAGTAACCTAGTAACCTAGTAACCTAGTAACCTAGTAACCTAGTAGTAGTAGTATTACCTGGCGAGCCTCAATGATTTACTATATTGAGTTGAACAACTTCTACAGGTCGTGTTAAGCTAGTAACCTAGTAACCTAGTAACCTAGTAACCTAGTAACCTAGTAACCTAGTAACCTAGTAACCTAGTAACCTAGTAACCTAGTAACCTAGTAACCTAGTAACCTAGTAACCTAGTAACCTAGTAACCTAGTAACCTAGTAACCTAGTAACCTAGTAACCTAGTAACCTAGTAACCTAGTAACCTAGTAACCTAGTAACCTAGTAACCTAGTAACCTAGTAACCTAGTAGTAGTAGTATTACCTGGCGAGTCTCAATGATTTACTATATTGAGTTGAACAACTTCTACAGGTCATGTTAAGCTAGTAACCTAGTAACCTAGTAACCTAGTAACCTAGTAACCTAGTAACCTAGTAACCTAGTAACCTAGTAACCTAGTAACCTAGTAACCTAGTAACCTAGTAACCTAGTAACCTATTAACCTAGTAGTAGTAGTATTACCTGGCGAGCCTTAATGATTTACTATATTGAGTTGAACAACTTCTACAGGTCATGTTAAGCTAGTAACCTAGTAACCTAGTAACCTAGTAACCTAGTAACCTAGTAACCTAGTAACCTAGTAACCTAGTAACCTAGTAACATAGTAACTTAGTAACCTAGTAACCTAGTAACCTAGTAACCTAGTAACCTAGTAACCTAGTAACCTAGTAACCTAGTAACCTAGTAACATAGTGACTTAGTAACCTAGTAACCTAGTAACCTAGTAACCTAGTAACCTAGTAACCTAGTAACCTAGTAACCTAGTAACCTAGTAACCTAGTAACCTAGTAACCTAGTAACCTAGTAACCTAGTAACCTAGTAACCTAGTAACCTAGTAACCTAGTAACCTAGTAACCTAGTAACCTAGTAACATAGTAACTTAGTAACCTAGTAACCTAGTAACCTAGTAACCTAGTAACCTAGTAACCTAGTAACCTAGTAACCTAGTAACCTAGTAACCTAGTAACCTAGTAACCTAGTAACTTAGTAACCTAGTAACCTAGTAACCTAGTAACACAGTAACCTAGTAACCTAGTAACCTAGTAACCTAGTAACCTAGTAACCTAGTAACCTAGTAACCTAGTAACCTAGTAACCTAGTAACCTAGTAACTTAGTAACCTAGTAACCTAGTAACCTAGTAACCTAGTAACCTAGTAACCTAGTAACCTAGTAACCTAGTAACCTAGTAACCTAGTAACCTAGTAACCTAGTAACCTAGTAACCTAGTAACCTAGTAACACAGTAACCTAGTAACCTAGTAACCTAGTAACCTAGTAACACAGTAACCTAGTAACCTAGTAACCTAGTAACCTAGTAACTTAGTAACCTAGTAACCTAGTAACCTAGTAACCTAGTAACCTAGTAACCTAGTAACCTAGTAACCTAGTAACCTAGTAACCTAGTAACTTAGTAACCTAGTAACTTAGTAACCTAGTAACTTAGTAACCTAGTAACCTAGTAACCTAGTAACCTAGTAACCTAGTAACCTAGTAACCTAGTAACCTAGTAACCTAGTAACTTAGTAACCTAGTAGTAGTAGTATTACCTAGCGAGCCTCAATGATTTACTGTATGGAGTTGAACAACTTCTACAGGTCGTGTTAAGCTAGTAACCTAGTAACCTAGTAACCTAGTAACCTAGTAACCTAGTAACCTAGTAACCTAGTAACCTAGTAACCTATTAGTAGTATTACCTGGCGAGCCTCAATGATTTACTATATTGAGTTGAACAACTTCTACAGGTCATGTTAAGCTAGTAACCTAGTAACCTAGTAACCTAGTAACCTAGTAACCTAGTAACCTAGTAACCTAGTAACCTAGTAACCTAGTAACCTAGTAACTTAGTAACCTAGTAACCTAGTAACCTAGTAACCTAGTAACCTAGTAACCTAGTAACCTAGTAACCTAGTAACCTAGTAACCTAGTAACCTAGTAACCTAGTAACCTAGTAACCTAGTAACCTAGTAACCTAGTAACCTAGTAGTAGTAGTATTACCTGGCGAGCCTCAATGATTTACTGTATTGAGTTGAACAACTTCTACAGGTCGTGTTAAGCTAGTAACCTAGTAACCTAGTAACCTAGTAACCTAGTAACCTAGTAACCTAGTAACCTAGTAACCTAGTAACCTAGTAACCTAGTAACCTAGTAACTTAGTAACCTAGTAACCTAGTAACCTAGTAACTTAGTAACCTAGTAACCTAGTAACCTAGTAACCTAGTAACCTAGTAACCTAGTAACCTAGTAACCTAGTAACCTAGTAACCTAGTAACCTAGTAACCTAGTAACCTAGTAACCTAGTAACCTAGTAACCTAGTAACCTAGTAACCTAGTAACCTAGTAACCTAGTAACCTAGTAACCTAGTAACCTAGTAACCTAGTTACCTAGTAACCTAGTAACCTAGTAACCTAGTAACCTAGTAACCTAGTAACCTAGTAACCTAGTAACCTAGTAACCTAGTAGTAGTAGTATTACCTGGCGAGCCTCAATGATTTACTGTATTGAGTTGAACAACTTCTACAGGTCATGTTAAGCTAGTAACCTTGTAACCTAGTAACCTAGTAACCTAGTAACCTAGTAACCTAGTAACCTAGTAACCTAGTAACCTAGTAACATAGTAACTTAGTAACCTAGTAACCTAGTAACCTAGTAACCTAGTAACCTAGTAACCTAGTAACCTAGTAACCTAGTAACCTAGTAACATAGTGACTTAGTAACCTAGTAACCTAGTAACCTAGTAACCTAGTAACCTAGTAACCTAGTAACCTAGTAACCTAGTAACCTAGTAACCTAGTAACCTAGTAACCTAGTAACCTAGTAACCTAGTAACCTAGTAACCTAGTAACATAGTAACTTAGTAACCTAGTAACCTAGTAACCTAGTAACCTAGTAACCTAGTAACCTAGTAACCTAGTAACCTAGTAACCTAGTAACCTAGTAACCTAGTAACCTAGTAACTTAGTAACCTAGTAACCTAGTAACCTAGTAACACAGTAACCTAGTAACCTAGTAACCTAGTAACCTAGTAACCTAGTAACCTAGTAACCTAGTAACCTAGTAACCTAGTAACCTAGTAACCTAGTAACTTAGTAACCTAGTAACCTAGTAACCTAGTAACCTAGTAACCTAGTAACCTAGTAACCTAGTAACCTAGTAACCTAGTAACCTAGTAACCTAGTAACCTAGTAACCTAGTAACCTAGTAACCTAGTAACACAGTAACCTAGTAACCTAGTAACCTAGTAACCTAGTAACACAGTAACCTAGTAACCTAGTAACCTAGTAACCTAGTAACTTAGTAACCTAGTAACCTAGTAACCTAGTAACCTAGTAACCTAGTAACCTAGTAACCTAGTAACCTAGTAACCTAGTAACCTAGTAACTTAGTAACCTAGTAACTTAGTAACCTAGTAACTTAGTAACCTAGTAACCTAGTAACCTAGTAACCTAGTAACCTAGTAACCTAGTAACCTAGTAACCTAGTAACCTAGTAACTTAGTAACCTAGTAGTAGTAGTATTACCTAGCGAGCCTCAATGATTTACTGTATGGAGTTGAACAACTTCTACAGGTCGTGTTAAGCTAGTAACCTAGTAAC